TTTTACTGTCAGATGTGGGTTAGGCTGGCGTGGCATCTCTGTGGGTAATGGATTTCTCAGCCTGGTAGCCAAACCAAAAAGTGCGAGAGGGCGAGAGGAGGGGGGTGTATGTGGAATCAGATCAGCTCAAAGCTATTGCTTTTTCTTTTTAAAACAAAAAAACAAAGCTGGGGGGGTGGGTGGGTGGGGAAGGGAACAGTGTGGGTTGAATGAATCAGTTTAGTCAGTCCAAAGCAAATAGTTTCGTTTAGTTTTTCAGGTTATTTAACCCTTTAACATCAAAGCAAACAAGCAGGAGGTGAATTTTGAAATGATAATGTTTTGAAACCAAAGGTGCAGGATTTAATGTGGAGGAAGTTCAGCCAGAGACCTTTTGCTTCTTGAGCTAAGCCTATTTGCCTGATTTGCACCTACTTAAATAATTCTCACAGCTTTTCCCAAACTGCTCTTTTTTTCCCCCACCTTCTTCGGTTTACTCTTCATTTGTCTTGAGCCGTGTTGATTTTCCCTCTAGAACCTGGTCAAAGTCCCACTCAAGTCCACAGAAAACTTTCCTTTAACATAGTGCTGAAGCATTGCAGGCTGCCTGAGGTCTTAATTTCTAAGCTAAATCCCTTTTTTCTGATGGACAAGGAGAGGATGGTGACACTGAGGGATCTGGGCTATGGCCACTGCGTCGCTGAGGCTTGTACAGCACTGAGCACGAGGGCTGTGGAGGGGAAATGATGTGTGTGAAAACCTCTCTCAGCCCCCAGCACTGCTGCTCCATCAGCCATCCTTTTGCCCTTCGGAGGTGGCTGGTGGCCATGGAGGTTGGTTGTGGGGATGAAGAAGATGACTGATTTGCTGCAGATGAACGTTGCATTTGCTCGGCCAGAGCTGCCGAGCCCCAGCGCGGCGCTCAGCACCCATCCAGCACCCCGTGCACCTGTCAGGGGCACAGAGAGACGGGAGCTCAGAGATCTGCACCTCCTGAAACCAGAGACGCTGGAGCGGGAGGAGGTAAGGTCATGTTGTTCAGCTTTGCTGTTGTGTGCAACAGAGCACAGCAACACCTTTGAGGTGTAAATGTGCAGGTGTCTCACCTGGTGCCCGGGCTGGTCTTTGTGGCACTGTGGTGGTAGACCGAGCAGCTCGTTTCACGTGCTGCCACGACGCAGTTTATGGACTGCTTGGGGCAGGAGGAACCCCTAAACCTCTGTTTACAGCCACTGATTGACCAGCACTGGGCATCCCCTCCCAGCAGCTGCAGAGCTAGTGGTGGCCTCGTTCCATGGGATGGGGCCCCCTGGACCCTCCGCAGGGAC